TATATATATATATTATTATTATTATTATTATTATTATTATTATTATTATTAGTTTTATTCATCTACTTAATCTTGTGTTTACAGCAGTAGTAAATTGTCACAAATGTCACAAAACAAAAAAATCTTATATTTTTGTGGAATATAATAATTTCCTTTATACATATACCTATATGTTAGGTAAATGTTTTGTTTATCCACATAATCTTGTATTTAAAGCCTTAGGCAACTTAATATTGCTGGTTTTGACGTCTTACAATTGATACCTACATGATGGACATTGTTCTTTCTGTCCATTTAATCACTTCACAAAGAGAGGTTGCAACATGCCTGTACTCGCATATGACAAATCAATTTGTCCATCAGCACACTCCAGACTTTGGGAGAAGTGAAATTATACACAGGATCTCCTATTTCCTGTATAAACCAAAGCGGTAGCACACAGACACATTTGCACGTCAACAAGATCTCATGACAAAGGCTCAATGTTCCAGAAAGAAGAACAGAAAGTTCACAATCTCACAAAATCGTATCTGTATTGTAGTATGCCTTTTCAAATGCCACTAGTCAAGGATTGTGTTTTGAATTCCTGGCTAGTTTACAGCTTGGCATGAGTAGCATTACTTAGAGCATGGTGACATCTAAACTTTATCTATTAGAAAGCCAACCAAGCACAATAAAAACTATAAAACAAGAAATAATGATAGACTGATGACCGCATTTATTAGCTGAATTATTAGCTGGTTTGTTCAAAATCACTGCATTATCAGATAACTAGCTAATATTAAAATATAGACCATTTTGTGCTTGTTTGTGCCCTAAAATGCAGAAATAGTGGTCACTTTGTCTATAAGGCACTATTTAAATCTCGACATGCTCCTGATAGCATCACCCTATCTTTATACACATCATGTGTGACTGACAGAACACCGATTACTCCAGTTATTATTGTGAACTCATAAACACCCTGCAAGTTTGACACATCTGATAATGATACACCATAAAAAATCATGCAATGAAACGAAACGTGTTTAGGTTATGCAGTGCAATTAATATGCACAGGTTGCATTGCAAAAGTTGTTTTGCATGCAACACATGGAAGCCATTTAGTTTTCCAATGCCATGCCAGGAATTGAATGTTACAAAACAGGATAAATGCTGCATTGTGTAGACACATCACAACACCGCTACTTCAGCGTTTTCTCTCTTTTCACAGGTACAAAACTGAGGAGTATACTTACATTCATGTTGCTCATAAGGTGGGTAGTTCAACCTCACAGCAATCAGGATGAAGAAAATAAAGAGAGGCCACACAATCTCTGTCAGCAGTTGGAGCTGAACATGTCAAACACAAGAGGACAAAAACAGTCAGCGTTTTCTGAAACATGACTAATAGAGTTCTCAGGAAAAAAGCTCTCAAGTCTCTAATGTCTAAGGTAAGGGCTTCTGGTGTGTAGTGTCATCAAGGGCAGGTTTTTATTAACGACATTTATTATTAATTCATGACAGGGGATCGATCAGACCCTCCAGATATAGTACAACAGCAGAGAGGAACATCCACTGGGATCATGGCATGTCTACATAGATCAAATGGGGAATGAAACCCATCTGACCACTCGTTCTCCATTTAGCACTTTTGTGTGTAATGCTTATTTATTTTAAACCTTAAAAATTTAAATTCATCAGTATTGTACTGTTTCAAGCCATTAAACAATAGAAAATTAAATCAAGCACTGAATTTTTTTGAAGTTTTTGTATTATGGAACAAGACATTTTGGAAGTACCTTGTAAATATACACATTACAGTACCATGTTATACATCAAAATACCATAGTATAGTACAACCAAAGTGCTTTTTGTAATGGTTTAAAGAGTAATATACCCTATTTTGAGGAGATGGAGATTTGAATTTTATGTCTGTCTGTATTTGCATCACTTTTACTTCTAGAAGAGCAACATAAATATTGTTTGTGTGTGCAGTGACCTGAGAATCATAGTATAACATCATTCTGTATTGAAATGATGTAAAAATGTCTTACTTAATATATGGATTGTTATGGACTGTAAACAGCTCAAGATTCTAGAATTATATTATCAGGAATGAAGAGCTGTCATAACGATAACAAATTTTACATAATGTGTAACATGTTATGCATAAAATTATATTTGCATTTGAATTAATGTTAGTCTTGTTTATGATGGCATAATAAAAAACTTAGAAAACCTGGAATATACACACATATATACTAAATCTGTTGTCCTTACCGTTTGTCTCCTTCTGTAGGTGAAGTTCTTCCACAACAGCAGACCCAGCTGAGTGGAGATAGACATCTTCACTCGGGTCCCTCTTCACTCTCAGCTCTCAGCTCTCAACTGCAATGACACAACGGAGACGTGCGGAGTGAAAAAGGCATCCAGCAGCGAACAACAGAGCAGCTCAAAAGTCCAGGACAAAGTGCAGCCCTCCTATCTGACTCTCTGCTGCTCGCTCACGTCTTCCCTTTTCATCTCTCCTCTCCTGCCCCGTTTTAGGAAAGGCCAACCTTTTCTTTTTTCCCAGAATTCCTGGAAGTGGTGGACCTTGTAGTGTCAGAGAATCATCAAGCAAGGAATTTCACAGGCCATTAGGGTCTCTGGGGTAGGTAGCTTCACTCTTAATGGCCACGTTTGATCAAAGAGCTTTAAAATGCACAGATTTGCTGGAAGTCAGGGAGAGAATCATAGTGCCCTTGCTCTATGCTAACGAAGCTATTCAAATGCGAAAAGGGTCCAGACATTCTTGAGTGATCTTCATCTAGCGCTTACATTGTTCTCACTGTCTGACCCTTTCAGTGATTTAATCAGGTAACCCAAAACAGAAATTATCAGGTTTGTGATGAGCTTGGATGGAAACATAACTTATGCCTGTAAAGCTTGACATAAGAAATAATAGGATTTTTTTTTTATGGAATAGTTTATTGAAACTTTAGACAAAATATTACAAAAAGTAAAGTAAAATCAGGACAATGTTCATGCTGGCCCTTCCAAACCCCAGCACCAGAGACTTGTGAGAATATTTAGGTTATTCTTTATCATCATGCACAGATCAGGATAGAACATGACTGTCCCTATGACAAATACAAACTGCTTTCTATGCGTTTTTATATATACATTCATCTGGTCATTACCTATTAATTCCAGGCATTTGCCGTTATGTTCAGCTGAAATGCTTGAGGCTGCATTTCACTCTTGAGAATTCAGACAGCTTTTCCTTCCCAGCAACTTGCGCATTATGTCTTCCACTATTACCGATGCAGGTGGTAAAAGCTTTCATATAGGTAAGTGTAAAAATGTTTTATTTTTCATTTTTCATGTTTTAAACATCCATTTCCACAAATTTAGCTTGGCACAGTAAGTTTTGTTTTTTACACATTGATACCTGTACTTTTGTCTATCTTGTTCATTGTTCTGTTGCTTTTCTCTTACAGCACTTCTGGTCTTTCTATCCGCTGATAAAGAACCACACGTTGTCACCTTTTGCTATTTTGGTGTTATTTTTGCTTTTTAAAAAACGTCAGGTTTTGTTTCTGAAGCTTACAGCTGTTCTTCAGTTAAATAAAAACTACGTGTCGCACAATTTTATCTGAAGTGTTACTTCAATTAAAAAAAACTGAATGAACTTTAATTCAATGATTTCCTTTGACAACGTTTACTCTCTCGTCATAAACACTAAAATATTGTCATGGTATTTGTACTGTTTTCAATAATACGCCACCTGAAACGTTGCGGTTGCCGTTCATTCTCTACAGAACATTAAAAACACATAAACAATGTTAAAGAAGACGAAGCATAAGTATATCTTACCAGACAGCTGATGGCCTATGATGGACATTCACTGTAATCCCAATGAATCGGATGTATATTCTCTGTGTGTACTCTGACGCCAGTGTTGGTCGGTGGTTCTCGTGTGAAGGAGCATCTGAAGGTTTTGAAGTGGTTTTATAGCGCATCCGCTCTGAGCGCCGGGGTTACTGTCGGTCATCCAGTGTGCTGCACATTTTAACTGGGTCTGGATCAACACGTGGAGCCCAAAACAGCTCTTAAACGGCATAACTGCAAACATCTGCTGACATACGAGTGCCATGAAAACAACACAAGGATAAAACATGCCTCTTCTACTGGTGTTTGGGAAAATATGACATTTCGTTTGCTTTTTAATGGCCATAAATGACAGAATCTTATTTGAAAGAGTTATTACATAGATGATGAAAAAGTATTTTTATGCAGTCTGGGGTCTTAAAAGCAAGCAATCTGTCATATTAAAACACTTGGCACAATCCCCCTTTTCACTCCATTGGGATCTATTTCTTTGTATACAGTTGATGGGATGAAATACTCAACCATGTCTGATAAAAGTCTTTGAATGCAAAAAGGACAGCAATTTGCTAAGAAAATATTAAATATATATATAAACATAAGAACTGAGACATTCCCTTAGAACACAAAATGTATATTAAACTAAAAGCCATCTAATAGCCAGTGGAATGTCACAGTGGTTGAAAGATGGTAAATTAGGTTAATATTACCATTTAGTTTGGAGTTATCCAAGTTTAATAATCTGTATTGATGGGAAATGATCCATGAATGTGAACATGAAGTGCTGAGTGACAGACCATTTATGGGAACCGTGTCAAAGGTCATCTTCAGCTTGACAGACTCAATGTCCAGGCATTAGGAATGGTGTATCTGCAAGATGGCTTGTGATGGCCAGGTAGGCTGTGTATTGTTTTTTGATGGCTTTTCTTTGTGAATGTAGGCGGAGACCTTGGACTGGACCAGAATAAGATGTATTAAGCTATGCACTGCCACTTATTATTGTGTTCTTAATCCTTCAATCCTTATCAGGGAACTATTTTCCATAAAGCATCTGAGTAAACTCAGGTACAAACTGAGTTCAATCGTGTGCCATGGCAGTTGACAACATGTACTTTCTCCGTGTGTGGTGTTTGTTAATCGTGTTGCAATATAGATGTAACTGGCATTGTGAAAGCTAGTGAAATTCTGGAAAATCCTGGACCTAGTGTCAAACCAAATCCGGTATTCTGGCATTGTGAGAAACACAAACACTGAATCATCTTAATTTTCAGAAATGCTGCAGAGCTCAGTATCTAAATTTACCCATGTTTTATGTTCTAGTGATATCTTCATTTATAGGGGCAGTAACGGTATTTAATAATACTAGCAGAACAAAAGAGACAATTTAATTCACAAACAATTCATACATGACAATTCTAAGATGATTTCTTAGTACACAGTGCGATCAAGAAGACAATAGGAAGGTTTAAAAACAGCTCCAGTCAAACAGCCAATGACCTGTCTGTGATCTCACTTTCTGGAGGAAGGGTCAGCTGATATTACCACTTCATGTAGTGCTTTTGCTGCAGTGCAGCTGTTGGCACATACAGTCCACCGCTGTCAGTTACTCTGCTACAGGAATCATGAAATATTTCTGACATTTTTAGTGGAGGAGGTGATGAAATAATGGAAAACATCTTTCTAAAACCCCAGGAACACATGCTCTACACTTGCTACCATTAAAAAATGATTAGAAAGTGTTGCCAATGTCATAATTCACCAGATGAAGCCGGTTAGGTTTCAGTTCGGAAACACTGGTTACAATAACAAGTTCAGATGCTACTGTAAAAATAATTTTTCATGGTGTATGCCTTCTTTGGACAACTATGCATTTTAGGCTTGCCTCTGCTACTTTTTTCTGCTGTTTGTTCTGTAATAAAAACAAAAAAAATATTCGTTAAAAAATATTTTTGGAAGTTACAGTAATTTTTTTTTAAATTTGTGATTAATTGCAATTAAAAGATTAAATTGTATTTTTTGAGTTTCACGTTTAATTCAATGTGTTACTTGCCGTTACACATTGTGGCATGCAAGAAGGTTGTATCTACAGAGAATGGTCAAAGCAATGCAAATGCACATACATATAATGTACGAGGACTTTATAGAGCATGTCAATAGAAAAATAAAACCAAAACCCAGACATTTTAGGCAATTTTGAAATTCTTTTTCCTGTCCAGGAAAAAGAGGATGTATGTCACCCTAATAAACAAATTAATATATTATTTTGTTATTTAATTTAATTAATAATCATACAAATTGATTAAACTTTGAGGCTTAAATCTGAGGATATTATGTACGTTTCCTATAAGTTGCTATAGAGTTTGGTTTCTTAGTGAAGTGGGTCATTCCTCAGCTCTGAGGTCAGTGTGTCCTGTGGGGGAAATACCTGCCACCTTCAGTGCGCTCTTGCAAGGTTTCATGTCCATAAAATATGAGCAGCTGATGCTTTCTTGAAAAAGTAGCATGGAAAGCTAGAAGCAGAGAGCTTGAATGTTAATATGACACATAAATATCACATTACTCTTTGTTAGAAATAGAGTAAAGGTTCTTATGGAACAATAATAACGCCTAAGCTGACAATGGACTAATAAACAAGGAAAACATGCTGACTTCGGAAGTGTGTGACAGACAGGTCAATGCTGTTTCATCACATTTAAGGGGAAAGTTCAGGCTACATGGGTTTAAGGAGTAAAACAGGCCTGTTTTGTTTCTAAGAGCAAAACAGCCTCCTAGATGCTGTAGAGACTGCAAAATATATTCTAAAAATGTATAATTTCTGCAATACGTCGAGACGTTCACTAAAACTGCTGAAGATTGCACATAAACATAGAGTAGGAGAGTAAATTGAATGTTTCACCCAGTTGTGAGAGATAATGTTGGTCATGACCCTTATATTTACAGTACCAAGCACGTAGAGAGAGATAATGAGAACTTAACATACTGACATTGACTAAGTATCAGCAAAATGAAACAATGAATAAAAAAAACCAAACAGATTTGAGGTAATATTAAGCTGTGGAAACTGAGGTTTAAGAAAACAGCTTTGTGACTTTCATTATTTAGTCATTATTATAATATTCTAAATATAGTGATACATTAGCGTACAGTATATACATTACATATTGTGAGGTATGGTTGTTCAAGCAATCCATTAGAAAGTGTCCGTTTTGAGTCATATTGTATTTGTTGTATATGAGCTCCCTCTAGTGGACAGACTCATTAAATCACAGTTAGTTTGACAATAAAATCACTTGTGTTGTTTACAGTAATGTGAGAGGATTTTTCTCTCTCTCTTTCTCCCCTATCTCTCTCCGTGACACACACACAATAACTCACTATGTTCACTCTCTCCCTGGTACTACAACGAACAATGGAACAATGCAGCTCTTCTGTGGTCCAGGCTGGCGTTTCTGAGCTGAGGCTCTACCCCTCACAGACTGAGAGCTGTGATGCTGCACACCGCCGAAGATGAGCGAGGTGAGACGGTCAACATCAAGCTCCTATCGGCCGAGGTCCAGCTGGATAAAGGTGGGACATTATCTTAATACGATTCAAGTGACTGACGAGTTTAGAACAGG